AATTACTAAAATGATAGCATTGAAGTCAGTGGACCATTTAAACAGCCAGGCAAATAGCATTTGCAAAAAGAGGGCTGTATGGTTATTCTGTCTCATTGGGTTCCATAGAAGCCACGGTTTCCATACACTGAACTGACGATGCCAACAAGCCTGAAACATCTATATGAAGTTTGGAATAAATGGCTCTGTAGTATTCAGAGCCACTATACACCAGCGGTCCTGAATCTGCATCTGTCTGTTGGGGCCTAAGGGCCCATTTACACCACATCAGATTGTTTCCAGACCCAAACCACATCCTAATGTATCCCTATGCTATTTCTGGCCTTATCCTTGTGTTGAAGCTTAGTGAATTGATCCTTATTGTATCTATTTAGGGCAGTCACAGCAATGCCAACAATTTGGAGTGGTTGCCCTTCTCCTTATTATTACAGGTATTTATATAGCACCAACAATGTACACAGCACTTTACATAGTTGCACATTCAGATCAGTCCCTACCCTCAAGGAACTTACGATCTAAGATCCCTATCTCATATGCATACATAGAGAGGAGCCAATTAACCTTCCAGCATGTCTTTAGAGTGTGGGAAGAAACCGGAGTACCCAGAGGAAACCCACGCAAGCACAGGGAGAACATGCAAACTGCTTGCAGAGAGTGACCTGGCTGGGATTTGAACCAGGGACCCCCAGCACTGCAAGGCAGAAGCTCTAACCACTACACCACTGTGCTGTTAAAGGAAAACCATTGCTGACCCCCTCGATGAGGCAATGTAACCATAACTGGGGATTAAAGGGATAAAAAAGCTGATTCGGTGCACTGCCATTTCCAAACCTCATTGGAGCGAACGTCCCAGGATAAGGATCCTTATTATGAAAAAATAAGTGACAGTTATCTCCCGCTGAGTCCAATGAGGTTTGGAAATTGCAGTCACATGATTAGAAGAAAGATTCTTATCCTTTGCCGATTGCTCCTTATTGCATCTATTTAGGGCAGTCAGAGCAATGGCAACAATTCGGAGTGGTCGCCATTGGTTACCATTCTTTGCACAGGGCCCTTCCCCTTATTATTACAGGTATTTATAAAGCGCCGACAATGTACGCAGCACTTTACATAGTTGCACATTCACATCAGTCCCTGCCCTCAAGGAGCTTACAATCTAAGGTCCCTATCTCTTTTTTTTTTTTTTTAAGTAAGTGAACCGTGAAATCACCGCACACAAAAACGTGCGTTGTCCTTCAATAAAGAAGGGACCTACTTTCCCTACACCGTGGGGAGAAAGGCTCCTGACAGGGGGTCCCTATCTCATATGCATACATAGAGAGGAGCCAATTAACCTTCCAGCATGTCTTTGGAGTGTGGGAGGAAACCCACACAAGTACTTGCAGAGAGTGACCTGGCTGGGATTTGAACCAGGGACCCCCAGCACTGCAAGGCAGAAGCACTAACCACTACACCACTGTGCTGTTAAAAGGAAACCATGGCTGACCCCTCGATGAGGCAATGTGACCATAACTGGGGATTAAAAGGGATCCAAAAGCTGATTCGCTGCACTGCAATTTCCAAATCTCATTGGAGCGAACGTCCCAGGATAAGGATCCTTATTATCAAATAAAAAAGTGACAGTTATCTCCCGCTGAGTCCAATGAGGTTTGAACATTGCAGTCACATGATTAGAGGAATGATCCAAAATATCAATAAAAGGGAATGATAAAGTTACCTTTGCTGTACACGCATAATCCTCAGGACGGGTCTCCTCTCCTCTTCCACAAGGAGCCGGGGATTAGGCACTCCTGTCCGGACAAGTTTAGGTTCCCCCCTCTCTCTCTCTCTCTCCGGGGGGGGGAGATTCTTTTCACACTCAGGAAGGATTTTCTTTTACAAAAAAAGTGAATAAATTCCTCAAAAAAGAAAACTCTCAACAAATAAATAAATGACAAAGTAAAGAGGAAGGTCCCATCGATGAGCGCCGGCAGACTGTCCCCCTTCCCCGACTCTCTCTGTCCTCCTCGTCTCTCCCAGAAAATTGTTCTTTTTTTTCTTATCATGAACCCTGAAGCCACAAGAAAAAGTTAGTGCACCGGGATGACTCCTCGGCTCCTCCCCCCTACAGTAACCAGCGGCCAATAGAATGGAAGATATTTAAATGGAAGCTGCAG